TAAATATGTTTTTTAATGTTTTTCATAGAAGCATAGCCTTGTAAGAGACCACTAGGGCCATCCTATCCAAGCCCCAGTCATCCGGGAGGACACAATACAGATAGTTATTATGCTTCTGTTTAAAAAATTTCTCCCTGTTGAAATTCATTTTATCAGTTTTGGCCAGCTCTCTAATCTGTTAAGGCCATTTTGTTTTGTGATCCTGTCCTCTAAGCAGTGTTTCTTAAACTCTGATAATTCAGATATTTTAAACTTCAGCTCCCACAATTCTTAACCGCTGGTGAGCTGCCTGGGATTTCTGGGAGCTGAAGTCCAAAACATATAAAGGAGCAGAGTGTGAGAAAAGTTTAGTGTATCTATTTGATTTACTGAGTGTAAGAAACAATCTGGGTATTGATATCCCTCCCACTTTGGTGTCATCTGCAGATTTTTTCACCATGCCCTCTACTCCCTCATCCATGTGATTGATAAAGAGGTTGAATAGCACTGGACTGAGGACAGAGCCCCAATGACACCCCACTGGTCACTTCTCTCTGGGATAAAAAATATCCGTTTGTGAACACCCTTTCAGTTCATTTGTTCAACTTATTTTTTGGATATTTTCAAATAGTATTTTCAACCCAAGTGTGAACAGAACAGATCAGTGAAAAGTTTAGTGATTTACTGAGTTTAGAGGAAAAATTAATATTGAAGGTCAGTTTAGGAATGGCCAACTCACATTCATTCTGAAGAGGTAAAAAGGTAAAGGTTGACCCCTGAAATTAAGTCCAGTCATGTCTGACTCTGGGGGTTGGTGCTCATCTCGATTTCTAAGCCGAAGAGCCGGCATTGTCCGTAGACACCTCCAAGGTCATGTGGCCAGCATGACTGCATGGAGTGCTGTTACCTTCCTGCCAGAGTGGTACCTATTGATCTACTCACATTTGCATGTTTTCGAACTGCTAGGTTGGCAGAAGCTGGAGCTGACAGCAGGAGCTCACACCGCTCCCAGGATTCAAACCTGCGACCTTTTGGTCAACAAGTTCAGCAGCTCAGTGGTTTAACCCACTGCGCCACCATATATCCCAGTTCAAAAAAAATATTTCTGAAGAAGCATAGCCTAAATTTCTGCTCCTTCTCCTTGCACAAACGCTTGTCTCTAAGACTTTAGACTAAGTTATTTTCGCTTGTCCACATGAGCTTCCAATGTAAGCTAATAGTAGTTAAATGTTGCCTGTATTTTGTAGACTTGTGCATGGATCTGTTTGCCTTCGGTACCTTTGGTACCTTCGAGAGCACGTAACGGTAGGGGTCCTCCTGCCTGACATGAAGGCAAACGGGAGGCAATCCTGTCTTCTCTGCTTTTCAGGAGCACACGGTGTGTGGAGAACTGCTGCGTGCTCTTTGCTCTTAAGCCCTTTCTTTAAACCCAGGTCTCCTTTGCAGACCGAGGGGAAAGCATCACAGGAAGAGTGGTATCTTAAGTAACTCTGATGCTTTTAATCCAGGTTGTAATGAAGGGTATAAGCACAAACCATTGCATTGCTTAAAATGATGGGAAGGGGTGAGAATTCCCCCCCCCCCCCATTGCTGCCAATGGACAGAAAACAGCCGGTTTTTCAGCTGTGGAATGAAAATGCCCTTTCAGAAACGTGCCCGTGTTCAGGAGGTGCCAGAAAATGGATATGGGGGAGGGCCTTCTGCTATCTGGCAAGCAGAAATGGTTCGAGATTCACTCGAAATGCAGAAGCCTAGTATTTTGTAATACCTCTCTATTATGTCATAAGAAGAGGGAGGCAGACCTTATAAAGAGGAAAGCCATATTTAATGATGGACATATTATCTCCCTTTTGAGACAGAAAAAGAGGAGTTTGAAATAGTTGGAGCAGGTGAAATGGTTTTTGGTATAAGAAGTTCTAGAGGATTCTTGTTGCCTTATGTATGATTTAGGAAACATTATTTGTGGTTTATTTTTTAACTGCCATTACACTGTCTTTTTCTCCCTAATGGCTTAATTTTTAATGCATGCTGAGAGACTGATCATATGGCCTTCATTATTTCTTCCACAGCAGGAAGCATCCAAAGCAGCAGCTGTGTATTGCCTTAAGTTAAATTGACTGTAAAGTATGAGTGCTCAAAATTGGCATGGATAAAAAGCTTGTCTCCCAGAACACACAGCAGATTGCTGTGTTACAGGTACTGAACTGATTTCTTTTTGGAAAAAAACCCCACATTTTTAAAAGGACGTCCATGATTAAATGGATTTGTTAGGTGTCACTAAAGCTGTAATATGTATCAATCTATTTATTTATTTTTATTTTTGCTAGCCTATATAGACCAGTAACACAAAACTGTGTTTCTCTGTATCCACGGGCGCAATGGAGTTATGTTCCCCCCTTCCCTCCAGACTTCCTACACTGCCAAGTGCTTTTGGAACTACAAGGAATTTCAAACGCAATGTCTAATATGACATAGAGGCTTACTGTTCAGATATTTCGCCCTCCCCAGCATGAATTCTCTTGTCATGGATAAAGTAGCTCTTTGGCCACTAGCCACAACAGCTCATATGGGGATGAAAAGGCCCACTTTTGTTAACTGCGGAAAGCTTTCATTTTCTTCTTTTTCGTTTTTTTGTTGTTTTCTGGTTAATTGATACTAAGAACTGGAGTCACCGCTGTAGTAAGCATGAGGTCATGTGGGGAATCCATACAGAAATGAAAGCCAAGTCACAGAACAAGTGGTATGATGCTTCCTAACAGCACAGTGCCTAACTGTGGCCAGGCAATCCATAATCTCCCATACTTCAGAATTAGATCTGCATATAGTTGGGACTATTGTTTACCTTTGCAATAACCTTACATATATATCTTATCTTCACAAGTTGGAGTGGTTTGAGCACTCCAACTTGGAGACCAAGGTTTGAATCCCTGCTCAGCCATGGAAACGCACTGGATGACCTTAGGCAAACCACGCTCTCCATCTCAGAGGAGGGCGGAGAGGGAGAATAAATCTTATCAAGAATACTCTGGGATAAATTTTCCTTATAATCTCTAGGAGTCAGAGATGGCAAACACACACAACAATAACTTACCTTTACTCTAGGTCAGGTCTTCTCAAACTTCTAAAGCTGTGGAGCCCTGTTTGAAGGAAAGGTTTCTCATGGAGCCCAGAGAAACTTTTGGACACATGAGCAGTATTGCATTTAAAATTTGACAGATGGGCCAGGCCAGAGGTTGTGAGGCTGCACATGCAGCGGGGCTCCAGAAGCTGCGTGATGGCAATGGTGTTATGAGGCCACATGAATAGCAAGGCTCTGGAGGTTGCCTGGTGGCAGTGGGGGTGTTAGGTTGCATGTGCAGCGGGGATCGGGAGGCCGCATGGCAGCAATGGGGGATGTCAGGTCGCATGTGCAGCAAGGCTTCAGAAGCCTCACGGTGGCAGTGTTAGGCCATGTGTGCATTTGGATTTCAGAGGCCACATGGTGGTAGTGGGACTCACCAGGCCATGTGCTTCATAGGCAAAGGGGGGTGAGGGGCAGGTGCAGGACCCCAGAGGAACTCTTGACTATGCTTCGTGGAGCCATAAGGGTTCAATGGAGCACAGTTTGAGAACTGCTGCTCAAGATCAATCAAAGTAGAATTGATGGATCTTTCCTTTTTTTATCTTCTCMAAAAGGTACCGAATGACTGAAACAAAATATGGTATGTACTGATGTATAAGACAGCCTCGTGTACATGAAAAGGACAGATGTTGCAACCAAAAAGATGGCTTTTTATATGACCTATGGATAGGTCAAGAGAGCCCCCCCCCCCCCCCGGCTGCTGCTCCTGTTTTTCCATTCAGGCTTTCAAAATTGTTAGAAGTAGTATTGTGATGGGGAGGGGACTGGCACTTCTTTTAGATTCTCCTGGAATGGATTAAACACTTGCTTTTCAATCCTTTGCTCAGAAAAAAGGATGGTTCCTTTCTTTATAAAAGAGTTAAGGTGCAGTACTCACACTGACCCGTAAATGTAGACCGAGGTGTTTGTGTTGATTTTTTGATTAAAATCTCTAGACTTATACATGAATATTTACAGTTAACTAGTGAATCTTGTGGCTGTGTGGGGTTTGGATCATGGAGGTCCCCAGTTCCAATGCCCTAATACGTGTAGACTCTGTCCAGAACAGTCTCATCACTTCATCAGCTCAGCCGACAGGTACTGATAATACTGAGAAAAAACCTTGTGACTGGCAAGCATAGATCAAAATGGCTTTTGCACTTGAAGATTTCTGAAAATGCTTTAAAAATGTAATGATTTAATATTACATCCATTCTGTGCTATGTTTCATAATTTTTTGTCCCCTTTAGATTTCCTAATTCTTTTCGACCTCTTTTTACCTCCCTTCTGCTTTTTTAAACTACGTGTAAATAGCTGTGTTCATAGTTTGCATTTGAACATTGTCTTTCCCGAAATAGTGCTTGTCCTCTTTAATGTCACTGGTGGGAGTAAGCAGATAATGTTGTCTATATGATCCCAAAACGATGTATACGCAAGCATAAGGCTGAAATGCATATTTAATAGCTTCTGTAATGAAAAGGGGAAAAGTCTTCATTTGGAAACGATTGGAATTATTAGAGTGTTTAGCAAAAAATAATAAAAAACTGATTTGTAGGAAGAATTGTAGCCAAATATGTACATACCTAAACGGAGTTCTCTGGTTTCAGAGATTTAAAAAATGCTTTCTTTCATCTTCACACCTTTCTATACTTAGAACATAAACAAGGGCTTGAAAGCATAGTTAGAAGCAGGTTTGCAAGCCTTGGTTCAGGTGGTGTGACATTAATATTTTAAGAGCTTGTGTGATCAAGTGGACAGTGCTGCCCTTGAATAAATGATTGGTAATCTCTACAAAACTATACAGAATGTTGTTATTTCTTTTTCCAGGTATCCTCATCTATAAAATAAGCTTGAATTACCATTGAAAGAAATACAATAAATATTTAGTGTTAAATTGACCTTCTGATTTTCAATTTTGCAGGTTTCGCTCTTTTCTTAAATCTGTTTGGAGGCTTTGGAATATCTCTAATATAGGTAAGATGACCCCAGTTAAATTGTTGTTATTGTTGAGTCCTTTTCTCTATGGAAAGTTATTATCTTTGTCAATTCGTTTTAGTGGGTATGCAGATTGAGGCATCCTAAAGTTATCAGATCCCATCTGATCTTGGATATGGCCATGGTTAAAATGTACTATGATTTGAAAACATGATGCTTCGTGCTATCCACCCTCAGTAGGGGTGCATCTAAATTTTAGGATTAATGCAGCTTGTCACCACTTACACTGGAATGGCTTAATGCTATGGAATCTTGGGGTTTATAGTTTTATAATGTTGTTAGCTTTCTCTGTTAAAGCGTTCCGGTGCTTCACCAAATTTCAAATCCCAGGATTTCATAGCATTGAACCATTGCAGTTAGTGGTATGAAATTGCATTGATCAACAGTGTAGATCTGGAGCCCCCGGTGGCGTAATGGGTTAAACCCTTGTGCCAGCAGGACTGCTGACCTACAAGTTAGTGGTTCAAATCTGAGGAGAGCGGGTTAAGCTCCCTCTGTCATCTCCAGCTCCAGCTCCCCATGCGGGGACATGGGAGAAGCCTCCCACAAGGATGGTAAAACATCAAACATCCGGGCGTCCCCTGGGCAACGTCTTTGCAGACAGCCAATTCTCCCACACCAGAAGCGACTTGCAGTTTCTCAAGTCACTCCTGATACACACACACATAAACAAAACAAAACAGTGTAGATGCAACCTACAATAGTGGTAGGTTTTTCCTACTCTGATTTGAGGTGGTTCCTTTGGTTCTGCTATTACTACTTTATTTTTTATTTATCGTGTCAGGAGCAACCAGACATTTGTATTACATTTTTAACAAAACAAACAAACAAACAAACAAACAGACAGACAAAAAAACAAAGTTTGCAAGTTTGGTAGTTGATTAAATGTCCTCTGACCAGTATCTGGCCTCTTGGAGTGCCTCTGGTGTTACTACTGACAGCTACAATCAGATTGGGGTAATAGTCATATAGGAATGTGTCCTTCCTCTTTTGGAACTATTTGAGTTCTGAGAAGTGGGAAGTGGGTGTGGGAAGAGAGGATTTTATAGTGAAGTCATCCTGTGAATAACCAGCATTAGTCGAGAGTTGGGAAGTGCTTCACTAAACACTCTTGGGAACACACTGCTGTGGAAAAGGCTGAGAGCTCTAAGTGACATTGAATCAAGACATAATTAAAACACATACCATGTAAACAGTAATCATTTTCTCAGTTGGAAGCCCTATGTCTTGTAGGAAGATCAGTCTGAATCTCATCTCTCAAAGCATTAGTAGTGTCAATAGATTCAAAGACAGAGCTACATTATTTTGAAATATTGATAGGCAAACACATCTTGTAGCACTTAGGTCAAAGAATGTGGTAGCATAAACTTTCGTAGATTAAGTACCTTCATGCATTTGAAATTGCTGAATATTGAAGTATTTCTACAGTCCTTTGTAGAACCATTTTGTGGTTTAAAGCTTATCCCAGAACATTGTGTTGTGTAGCAGGTTTTATGTCTTTTCTGGAGTTTCAGTCTTGAATTGAATAGGGGCAGATGAAAGAGGATCAAGGGACTTTCTTGGCTCTGGCTTCCTGTACAGCTTCTTAAAAGAAATCTCTTTGCCCTTCTGTCTCAGGTTTCAGGAGGATACTAACATTCTGCTCTGTCTTTATTTTCCAATCCTATTCTCACTAACCAGCAAATAAATTCCAGTGAACCCAGTGGGGCCAAGGATTACATTTGAGCACGCATTATAGGATTGTGCTGTTAATCTGTTTTAACTTCCTGCTGTGGCAGTGTATTTTGAAAATGATCCAGGTATTTTATTCCCCTCTTCTCTCTTGATCTGTTCTTTTAATGATATGCACAATCCTACTCAAACATAACCACCATTGAGTACAGTCGTATTTATTCAGTAGAGTCTTAATTGAAGTGTGTGTGTGTGCATTTGTAGTTTTGCATTTTTAAGTAATGATTGCTTTTGGGAGTCTTTGTATAAGGAGGGTGTCCGAAGAGTGAAATAGAATGTTTCTCAAATTAATTGAATAAATTGTAGAAAATCATCTCTCCTTCTCTGCCCTTGCTGCCTTCATACACATTGTGCGGCATGTGTTGCTCCACCCTGGTTTCCTTATGCCTTCATCTAAGATCCCAAGGGAAGGATGAGTCGCATCTGAACTGAAATGACACCTAGAGACCTTGGGCATGAATTGGTTGGCACAATCTTAGGGAGAGTTGTGGGAGCGGCTGCTTAAAATTGTCAAGTCTACTTATATCCAGCAAACATTTTTTTCCCCCCAAAACATGTGGTCACACAGTTAATGTGCATGGCTGATGTTTTTACATTTTCCTCCATACAAGGCAGGATTAAGATGCTTGGGGCTCTGGAGATGTCCCAAAAGCTACCAACAGTTTCTCAAGTCGCTCCTGACACGACAAAAAAACAAAAAACAAAAAAAACCCAACAATTTGTAGACTTTTGTGAACTTCCTCATTAAGTGGCCTGTTCAAAACAGAGTGGGGTGGATCAAAGGAATGTCAAAAGAAGATAACTAAAAGCCATCTTCTTTCAGGCCTATAGTTTGATACACACATTACCTGGCTTGTGTCCCAGCTGGGTTGACCAAGTAGTAAGGTGCAGCTACACTGTAGAATTAATGTAGTTTGAGACCACTATAACCGCCATATCTCAATGCTATGGAATAATGGGAGTTGTGGTTTTGCAAGATGTTTATCCTTCTCTGCCAAAATGTGGCTTCCATTATCCCATGGTGTTGATTCAAGACAGTACATATGAAAAAGATCTTGGAGTCCTCGTGGACAACAAGTTAAACATGAGCCAACAATGTAATGCAGTGGCAAAAAAAAAAAAAAAAAGCCAATGGGATTTTGGCCTGCATAAATAGGACTATAGTGTCTAGATCCAGGGAAGTCATGCTACTCCTCTATTTTGCCTTGGTTAGACCACACTTGGAATATTGTGTCCAATTCTGGGCACCGTGATTGAAGGGAGATGTTGACAAGCTGGAATGTGTCCAGAGGAGGGCAACTAAAATGATCAAGGGTCTGGAGAACAAGCCCTATGAGGAGCAGCTTAAAGAGCTGGCCATGTTTAGCCTGAAGAAGAGAAGGCTGAGAGACATGATGGCCATGTATAAATATGTGAGAGGAAGTTATAGGGAGGAGGGAGCAAGCTTGTTTTCTGCTGCTCTGGAGTCTAGGACATGGAACAATGGTTTCAAATTACAAGAAAGAAGATTCCATCTGAACATTAGGAAGAACTTTGTGAGAGCTGACTGTGAGAGCTGTTCAGCAGTGGAGCTCTCTACCCCAGAATGAGGTGGAGGCTCCTTTGGATGCTTTTAGACAGAGGCTGGATGGCCATCTGTCAGGGGTGCTTTGAATGCAATTTTCCTCCTTCTTGGCAGGGGGTTGGACTGGACAGCCCATGAGGTCTCTTCCAACTCTATGATTCTATGACAGTTAAAGTGGTGTCAGACAGCATTAATTCTACAGGGTAGATGCACCCATAGTCTCAATGACATTGGCTTCAATATATTGCCAGCCCTTTCCCTTGCTATGTTACCCCAGTAGCATTTTTTTTTCTTGATAGCATCATAGTATAAGAAGCATCTGCATGTAGCATTGGCAACAACCCTAAATCATTTATTCTCTTTGCACAATTGATAATCCAGCCTTGTTCCTATCCAGATTTCTGTGTTTCACAGTCACTGAAACAGAAGGTAGTTTATATGGAAGAATCAAATTTCTTCTCTGAATCTGGGTCTGTTTGGATTTCCATATGCATATATCATGAGATGTCTTGGAAATGGGACCTAAGTCTAAACACAAAATTTATTTATGTTTCATGTACATCTTATATGCATAGCCTAAAGGTAATGTTATACCGTATTTTAAAAATACTTTTGTGCATGAAACAAAGTTTGTGTTCATTGAACTAACAGAGAGTACAGATATTACAGTCTCAACTACCCATGTGGACAGTTTTGGATTTCAAAATTCCAGATAAGGGTTGCTTAATCTGCATTAAGTATTCAGAAGAGCTGTATATTCAGATTTGCATTTTAAATGAACCAACACAACTGCAAGCAGATCCCTTATATTTTGTGCCATGTGTAAGCTGCCTCGAGAAGGAGATGATGGCGGTATACAAGAATAAAGTTGCTGTTGTTGTTGTTGTTAAAAGGTTACAACTGAGTGAAGTTAAATTATAAAAATGTTCCTTAAAAAGATTTCACTTTACCTTAACCAATTGTTAAAATGGAACATTTCTGCTTTTGTGCAGTTCACATTACGTTGGATGGCATCTTGAATTGTTGGCTGTGTATCTTCATATGGTAAAACAGGGCTGGCCAACTCTAGTAGGTTTGGGAGTAAACTGTCTTCCTTTAAGACTCTGTCGAAGCCTCATAGACTGCAAAAATGTGCCCAAAGCAAAACAAAACTAGAAGTTGCCAGAAGTCTATTTCTCGTTATGAAAAAATGTATTTTTATTTTGGAATATTTAAAAGTTCAGTTTTGAAAATGGAATATTATTCCTTGATGCTTCGAAGAGAAGCAATTCTCTATCTTTGGGAGTAGAAAAGGGGGAGTCTGAGAAATCTGGACAGATCAAGGCTGCAAAAACAACTGGAGAAGTGAAGCAAGAGCTGCATACGGCCCCAGGATTTCACCAAGATGGGTAACACGGAAACTTACATAATGGTGAAGAATGGAGGAATGTGTAGTGTGGTTCCAGATGGAGGATCCTTATGCTAACAATTAGCTGGTACTGTGCAGTGATTCTAACTTCTTTGCCTTAATGGATTTTCTATGGTAAGGAAAAAGAAGAAGTCAAATAAAATGAAAATGAAAAAGCATTATGACTAGAGGACAGAGTTGTATGCAGATCACATTCACTTTTAGTGATGTGATAGGAACATTGCCTGACACTAGTCTCAAAGTGATGCTTGTCTTGTTGTAGAAGCCGGGAAGATATGATACAGATTTGGTTCAAAATCTTGAACCCTCTGAACATATTGTTTTCTTTTAACAGCACAGATTTGTGACCCCCACACCTCCCTTTTGTATCTGATAATAAATGCGTTCTTCTGGGCTGTTGGGTGGTTTCTGGACTGTATGACCATGTTCTGGCAACATTTTCTCCTGACATCTGTCATACTTTCTCCCATGTTGGACAATGTACAAGTATATATACTCCACTTGCTTTACCACCATCAGATCCATTGAAGATCCCAGCCATAGATGCACTTGAAACATCAAGACAAAATGTTGCTAGAACATGGCCATATGGTATGGAAACTACACAACACTCAAGTGATTCCAGCCGTGAAAGCCTTTGACAATACAATATGTTCGTCCATGCTCTTTTGTGTTTTTATGTGTCTTCAGGTCACTTGTTTGATGTACAGTGACCCTATGCAGTCTATAGAGTTTTCATACAAATATAGTGAATGTTGCCACACAATTAGTAATAAGGATTTACAAAATCCCAAAGGAACGAGGAGGAAGTACAACAATTGAAGGTCAAAGAAGTGTAGCCTGAACCATTTCTTTGTACGCATGTATACTGTGAAACAGTGCCTGACTTTTCAATTACTTTGTTGCAGGTTATTATTGTAGATTATTGGACCTGGTTCAGAAGAATACACACCAAGGTATGATTTTTTTCAGTGTATTAATTGTTAAGCCACATAGCAAAAGAAATTTAATAATATATTATAAAGTTAGCTTTTTGTGTTTGGTGTAAATATGCACTTGTCCTCAGTCCATAATCTGTGAGGTTATGCTCACGTGTAGCTCTCCATCAGGGGCTTCTCCATAGCTAAGTAGCCATAATTAATAAATGAATTTGCAGCCATTTTTTCTGAAGTGAATGGAAAATTTTTCATTTTATAAAATTACTGATTCAGAGCCTAATCAGAACTGTAGTACAACTCTTGAATCTGCAGGGAATATGTTCCCAGAACCATTGATAATAATGAACCCTACTGAAAGGAAAGGCTGCTGGCCCAAGAATATCATAAAGCCATGCTGAAGGACTCAGAAAATTAGAGAGGACATATTTTCTTGGACATGGATAATAAAACCACCAATCCCAGGGGGTTAGATTGTATTAATTCACTGCATTTGTGCTAGAAATATGTCTCACTAGAGGCTGGATGAAGCTAGTTGAGGGGAAATGAGGAAGAAGTAGCTTAGGCAACCAATAAGCTTCCCATCTAGACTGAGAGGGGAATTAAAACTGGGATTGTTCTCAATCTGGAAGGGAAATTTTGTTTATTTTCCTCAACTGCGTTTATAGCTGAGATTCCCACTATATCCATCTGAATAGCTGCAGCAGTAACCTATCCCAAGGCTTGATGCTGCTCTGGAGAACAGATGTTTTAGGTGGCCAACAGAAGCTACTGAATTGCTCTTTGTGTGTCAACCAAAATAATAATTGCACACACATAACTCTCAGGTTGTGGGCTTGTATGCCACCAGTAAGGTTCTAGACAGTTTGTTTTCCATCAGAAAACATTGTTTGTCCATGCACAAAATATGTAATTTGTTTGGTGTTTTTAAATCAGTTAGATTTTCAGTTTTCCTAATACCAATTGAAGAGTAGTGTTGGGCACAGCGACTCTTCTCACAGCTAAACAAGGAGGATACTTGTTTCAAGGTGCTGACATTTTTTCTGTAATTAATGTTAGGGATGTTTGTGATTGTTGTCTGCTCATGCTTCAGTATATTTACCAGATAAAAGAGGCCTAGATGAACAAGATGTGTATAAAATTCATATTTAAGAAGGCAGTGCATATTTATGCATGTAAAAAGGCATTTCTGTTAAGTAATGGTAGAATATTGCACAACAGGGTGGTGTAGTTTGAGTGTTACACTAGGACACTGAGTAAACAGAGTTTGAATCACAGCTTGGCCATGGAAACCCATTAGGTGACCTTGGACAAATTATGCGTTCTCAGCTTCAGAAAAGGAGAAGGACAAGAACAAGGACAAATCTGTTTGTAATCTGTTGTTTTTAACTAACGTTTAATTGTGATTTTATTGCTACTGTTTGTTGGCATCTAATTGTTGCTGGTTGTAAGCCGCCCTGTGCCCCCCCCCCTCCCCCAGAGTTGAGAATCACGGGATATAAATGTTTGAAATAAATAAATAAATAAATCCATTCTGAACAAATTCTCCCAAGAAAACCCTGTGATAGGTTCAACACATACTCCTCCTAAGTCTGAAATGATTTGAAGGCACAGAACACCATCAACATCATCACCAAAGAGTAGTATATGGGTTGATTTGTTTCATATTTAAAACAATTAAAAGTTATAGTAAAAGTCAAACAGGAAATCAAGAAAAGAAATATAGAGTAGAAACACAAAAATGCCAAGAAATAAGAATAAAGAAAGCGAAAAGAAAAAAAGTGGATGACCTTGGATGTGTCCTCACCTAACCAAAAAAGCTTCACCCTCTAGGCCTCCCAATGTTGACTCCTTTCTTGAACAACTTCACCACCTACCCCAATTATTCTTCAGAACTCAAAATTGGCAAATTCTTCTCTTCCTAATACAAAAGTGAACAAAAGGTTTCCAGTCTTTCAGAATTTTTCCAATGTACCTTCTTTTTGTAAATAGGATAGTTTGACCATCTCAGCCAAGTCCATCGTTTTTATCATCCAATCCTCTGTTGTTGGTGCTGCTGAGTTCTTCCATTTCTGCATGTAGAGCAATCTGGCTACTGTGATTATCTATTGCAACAGTCTATCATAGTCATATATATCAGTCAGACCAAGTAGAAAAATCTCAATTTTTAACTGGATTTTTCCCCAACATTTTCTGGAACACCTTATGTTTTTGAATCCAGTATTTCTTGGCATGTTTTGATGTCCACCACATATAGTAGAAAGACCTAACTTGCCGTTTACATTTCCAGAAAGTGTTGACATTTGGAAAGTTTTTCAGAAGTCATATGCCATCAATGCATAATTTTACAAAAATTCTTTTTCAAATTATGACATAATGTAAATGTTAACCTCTCTGACCACATTTTCTCCCATTGGTCTAACATACTATGTTCAACATTTTGTGTCCACTTTGTCATCGATTCTTAACCTTGCTTGTCTATCATTTCCCATTTCAATCACATCTTGCACAATTTAGTGATTACTCAGTTCAAAACCAACTACAGGCAGTCCCTGAGTTACAAACATCCAACATACAAATGACTCATAGTTAAGAATGGGGGTGAGACAATAGGGTAAGAGAAATTATGTCTCAGAAAGGAAATTAACTCCTGAAAGAGTTATCATGGGGAAAATGTGCCTCCACTGAAGCTTTCTTATGAATCCTTGTTATAACAACAAGCCAAAATTTTCAAAATCCAATTATCACAGGGACAGAAAGTGAGGTGAAATCTTCTGAACAGGGGCACAGAAAGAAAAACAAACACAACAGGGGTGTTAACCTTTCCCTCTGTTATCCAAAGCTTATATTACACTTATAAAATGTACCTGTTCCGAGTTACAAACAAGAACAAATATTTTTTGTAACTTGGGGATTGTCTGCAATTCCATGTCTTGCCTAAATCTCTCCATTAATTGTAAATAAGAAATCCAAAACCCTTTGTAATCAGTTTTTTTTAATTCTGTATTTTCCTTGTACATATTCTGTGAGATCTTGGTAATTAGCCATTTCTTATTGCCTTGTATGTCTTTTCTGTAAAATGCTTCTTGCACATTGGCATCTTTGGGCATAAGTATAATCTATATCTCTTCCATATTCATAATAGAGCTCATTTAACATAATGATTTTTTTAAAAATCCACATTCACTTTCACAGTGTGTGAGTTGATTTGTAATTGAACACATATAGAACACATGGACCATGGTTAGAGTATTGTTGTATGTCTATAACCTGTGTAGACAGGATGGGGTACGTATGGTCTTGAAGATGTTACTGAATTCCCACTTTTATTATCCTTCATCATTGGTTGTGCTGGATAGAGCTTATGGGCTTTCAATTCTAATATCTGGAAGTCCACATATTCTTCATTCCAATATGAATAGTAGTGAAAGCCAGTTGAGTAGGTAATAGATGGATGGACAGAATCATGAAGTCTCTGCCCTTCCAAGTTTTGGTGATGAGTTCCACATTTCTCTAAGCAGTTGTGACAACCTCATTATATCTGCCTCCATATAGTCTTCATAAAATGTTACGGTTTTGGGTTATTTATGGCAGGATGTCTAATCTTTAGTTCTCCAGATGTTTTAGACTTCTGCTCCTTGGAGCCCCAACCAACATATCCAATAATGAGGAATTCTGGAAGTCCAAAACTCCTGGAGGGCCAGAGAAGGACATAAGCAAGAAACTATGTTGCCTGAAGATTTTCCAGGATCATTGAACAGATAACAACAGTGAGACCTTTTGTATGCTTGTAGAGATATTCATGAATAAGCAGACAGAGGGAGGAGGAAAGCTTTACTTTCTGTATTTTTTTGTAAGTCTATACTCCAACAGTTATTCATGTTTGTAACTGCTAGAAAGAAAAGCCTTGAATATTTCTTCATGAACACAAGTGCTCTCCAGTGTCACTTTCATAGTGTTGAACAGATGAGAATCATAGGGACTTCTCAGTGTTAATGGACTGTAGTATCCATCTTTCTTCACCATTGACTCTGCTGCTGTTTGTCCAAGTGATCTTAGACTCTTGGCCCTGGTGCAGAAGGTGGAAAACTCCTTTTGTTTCTGCTGTAACCTCTACTGGCCAGAATTATTTTCTGTCCTCAGTTAAAGCTTTCTGGTAACTGCAGTGCTTTGTGCTGGTGATCTTGAACATCGGACCTTTGTGGGTGAGACATCTAAGGAATTGTATGTATGTGGTGTGTAAGAAAAGTGCTATTGCGTTAATGTCCTGAAGAGAAATCACGACTGGAGAGGAATGAGCTTCGAAGGGTTTATTCTTCTTCATTACTACCCACTGGGAATATCACCTTGAAAAGACTGTTTATTTACTATATCGGATGATGGAGTTGGAGCAGTGTTTTTCTCAAGTCATCTTAAAAGCTAATCCTAGCTTTACCTTAAGATTTCAGGTCGAGGTACCCTACTTACATGATGTAACAGTTCCTTTTTTCCGAGTTTTGGTGTTCAAGTGAGATACATTACTTTAAAAATAATGAGGAAAAATGAAACCCACTTGAGAAAGAAAAGATGCACTTTGGAAGTGTGAGCATGAAAAGTAACAACTGTCAGTCAGAAGACTGTAAAAACATCAACTTGCAGCTCAACAGTGACGGCCAAACGCTTTCCAAAATAGAAGCCTGTTAAGCTGATAACGGAAGACGTATAGGGTGAGGGGGCAGCTGGAACGGCTCGGCAAAGAATTCCAGTGGGAGAAAAGCATGACCACTGAGGATGCTTCTAGGAAGAAGGCGCCTGCCACTCACAACGCAAGAACATTGAGCATCTTTTCCTGCCATCTTTCCTTGAGGGATTTTCTCTGGTAAGAAAAATAACAGAAGGAAGAATGGGAAAGCAAGGGGAAGGAACCTGGAAGTTGAAGGAGTTGAGTTCTAGACTTACATCAACCTTCTATATAGACAACACTGGGATTGTGCAGTTACAATTTCACCTAGAAGCATTACGGAAAGGTGATTTCAGGACCT